CTTATCGCTGCATCCTCTGGAGGGGCCGAATGCTGTCTTCACATGGTGCGAAGCAAAAGGGGTGAAGCAAGTTCCCTCCAGACCTTGATTAAGGCACTAGTCCATTCATGAGATCACACCTCATTTTTAAAAAAGTTCATTTATTTATTTTTGTTTATTAGAATGCAGAGAGAGGGAGGTGGTGGGGACATTCCTCCCATCTACTGGTTTACTCCTCAAATGCCTGCAATAGCCAGGGCTGGGTTAGGCTAAAGCCAGGAGCCCACAACTCAATTCAGTTGTTCCACATGGGTGGCAGGGACACATCACTTCAGCATCACTTTCTGCCTCCCAGGAGTGCATCAGCAGGAAGCTGGATCACTAGCATAGTAGTCAGGAGGCCAGCGCTGTGGCAAAGTGAGTTAAAGCCATAGCCTGTAGCACCAGCATCCCATATGGGCACCAGTTTGAGTCCCAGCTGCTCCATTTCTGAGCCAGCATCCCTGCTGATGTGCCTGGGAAATCAGTAGAGGATGGCTCAGGTGGCTGGGCCCCTGTGCCCATGTAGGAGACCTGGAGGAGACTCCTGGCTTCTGCCTGGCCCACCCCTGGTTGTTGCAGCCATTTAGGGAGTTAACCAGTGGATGAAAGATCTCTCTCTCTCTCTCTCTCTCTCTCTGTAACTCTGCCATATATATGTATATGTGTGTGTGTGTGTGTATGTATATGGAAACAGAATAGTCAGAATTTGAAAGAGGCAGTGTGTGATATGGGGTGCAGGCAACCCAAGAGGTAGTTTAACCTAATGTACTACAATGCCCATCCCAAGGTCACATCTCTTAATAAAGAGATTAAGTTTCAACACAAATTTTGGAGGGAACACATTCAAACTGTAGCATCAAAAAATTGAGGGTAATAGGATAGTATTTTTCTGATCAGAAAGTTCGCACTGTCTGCACTAGTGCTAACATTTCATACTGCATATAGCTAAACCAAACAGTGCTTTGATGTCTGTTGTCCAGTCTTTTCTTGTTCTTTAAGGTTTAGCTGGGACTTGATCCGGTGCTCTGATATGGGATGCCAGTGTTGTTAGGGGTAGCTTAACCTACTCTGCCACAATGATAGCCCCTGCTGTTCAGTCTTCAAGGCTTCCAGAGAGAACCTGTGCTAACATATGCTATGATGACCAAAAGGGGTACAAAGACTAAAACGTCCCTACCCTCTGAGGAATATATTGTTCTCAAGCAATGAGAACAAACAGCTGTCAGAATCAGTTTTAAGCTTATCCACTAGATCAAGGCAAACTTGCTTTAGTGTATATGCTTCCACAAACCCTTCCTAGACAGGGCCTCACTTCTGAAAGCCAAAGAGGAAGGGACCCATTCGATAAACATGCCTCTGTACGCCATTCAGTGAACAACAAACAGTCTTACCCAAGTAATTATTCTACAATGTCACCCCATGTCAAGTCCCGAAAGTCCCTGAATTCCATGTTCCCAAGCCCCACAGGAGATCAGTAGTCTGCTCTACTCAAGGAGGACCAGGCCTGAGCATCTCTGTTCTTCTGCATGGTAGGCTACACATTCAGTTTTGTCTTTTTCTTTCAGATATTGAATGGTGGACATATCAACCCCTGGAAGTTTATATTTGGTATTATTTCCTTAATTTCGTACTTGATTTAGTCCCGACAGAATCAAACAGTTACTGTGACAGGACAGAAACAATACTCACTAAATCAAGCCCCTCCACGTGTCCATGTATCCACAAGCTATTCAACCAGCTCCAAACCAATCAGGAGAAAGGAGCTGGGCAGACCCTAACCACAAAACACACCCTACAGTAATGTTAGGGATGATCCTAACCTATACCCATGTCCAGAAAAATCCCAGCACAACTGATAAATAACCTTCCTGGGGAGATGGCAGTGAACAACATTGCCATTTGGAGTATGTTTTGTGCAAAAGCAATGTGCAGACCTCTGAGGGGGATGAACCAGAGACCCACAGAGTACAGCCATGCCTCCTCAATCCAATAAAAACCCTTGTTTAGCTCCCAGTGGATAGCCAGTCAGTGGAACCTCTTTCCATGTGCTGTCCTCCTTGTGATAGGGATAAGCCCTCAATAAACCTTGTATAGTTTGAATGTTAACTGCCTGTTAATTTCTATTACAAGTGAGTCAGGAACCTCAAAGTCAGTATCACCACCTTTACTTGAGCATTAATTAAGCCACGTATTATGTCAGCCAATTACATATGTTAAGTCTGGATTACCTAAAATGTACCACTCAATATCTGAAATAAAAAGTCAAAACTGAATATATCTCATACAGTAATAAGGAAGAGCTACACTGGTCAGCCATAGTCTCCTTGACCAAGGTAAACTGATGCACTCAACAACCACAACCTTCATTTCAAATGGTAAAGGCTGTAAATACAAACTCTGAGACTTCTATTTAAGAATGGAGGTACTGGGGCAGGTGTTTGGTGCTTCCTTACCAGGGTTCTTATTTTTTCAGTCCTGCCCCTTCTGCTTCTAACCCATGTTCCTGCTATTGTGCACCATGGGAGGCAGCAAATGATGGTTCAAGTACTTTGGGTTTTTGCCACCCATCTGGGAGACCTGGAATGAGTTCCAGGCTCCTGGCTTCAGCTTGGCCCAACCCTGGCTATTAGGGGCATTTTGAGAGTAAACCAAAGAATGGAAGATCTCCCTCCTTCTCTCTTTTCCTCTCTTCCCGAGTGCCTCTCTGCTTTTCAAATAAATTAATTAAATATATTTTTAAAAAAGTATAGAGATAACAGGGCTGGCACTATGTCATAGCCCGTAAAGCAACTGCCAGAAGTGCCGGCATCCCATTTGGGTGCAGGTTTGAGTCCCGGCTTCTCCTCTTCTGATCCAGCTCTCTGCTATGTCCTGGGAAAGCAGTAGAAGATGGCCCAAGTCCTTAGGTCCCTGCACCCGCATGGGAGACCCAGAAGAAGCTCCTGGCTCCTGGCTTCAGATCAGCACAGCTCCGACCGTTGCAGCCATCTGGGGAGTGAATCAGTGGATGGAAGACCTCTCTCTCTCTGCGCCTCTCCTTCTCTCTCTCTGTGTAACTCTGACTTTCCAGTAAATAAATAAATCTTAAAATAAAAGGATAGAGATACTAGTCTTATCAAAGCTATGCTGGAGCCAGAAATTGGGCTAGCAGTGAAGAAGCCAGTCGGGAAGTCTGCACTTCATACTGGATACCTGGGTTCAAGTTCTGGTTCTGTTCACAGTTCTAGCTTCCTGCTAATGTGACTTGGGAAGCAACAAGTAATGGCTCAAGTATCTGGATCCCTCCACCCACAAGACAGACCGTGACTGAGTTCCCAGTTCATTGTGGGCATTTGGGGAAGTGCTTGCTCTCTGTCTCTCAAATAAATTTTAAAGAATTTAAAAATTTTTTAAAATTTAAGAAAGCCGGCCGGCGCCGCGGCTCACTAGGCTAATCCTCCGCCTAGCGGCGCCGGCACACCGGGTTCTAGTCCCGGTCGGGGCGCCAGATTCTGTCCCGGTTGCCCCTCTTCCAGGCCAGCTCTCTGCTGTGGCCAGGGAGTGCAGTGGAGGATGGCCCAGGTGCTTGGGCCCTGCACCCCATGGGAGACCAGGAAAAGCACCTGGCTCCTGGCTCCTGCCATCGGATCAGCGCGGTGCGCCGGCCGCAGCGCGCCAGCCGCGGCGGCCATTGGAGGGTGAATCAACGGCAAAAGAAAGACCTTTCTCTCTGTCTCTCTCTCTCACTGTCCACTCTGCCTATCAAAAAAAAAAAATTTAAGAAAGCCATGCTGGTTATTAACCAGCACTGATATGTATGAAGAATACTTCAAAAAGTTCATGGCAAAATGGAATTAAAAGTTTATTCTGATGCAAGGAGTTTTTGAAATATGCATACAGTTTTTTCATAATACATGTTTTCCAAGAATTTTTTGAAGACTCATGTATGCATGAATTTCAAAAAATTTTTTTTTGAAAATTACTTTAAACAACAGGATGTAGGAACTGGCCTCATGGTGTAGCAGGTAAGGCTGCTGCATGCAGGGCTGGCACCCCGTATGGGCGCTGCTTTATGTCCCGGCTGCTCCACTTCTGATCCGGCTCCCTCCTAATGCACTTGGGGCCAGACAATGGAGGATGGTCCCAGTGGAAGACCCAGAAGCAGCTCCTATTTTGGCCTGGCCCAGCCTTGTCGGTTGCAGCTACCTGGGGAGTGAGCCAGAGGATGGAAGAGCTCGCTCGCTCGCTCTCTCGCTCTTTGCCTCTCCCTTTCTCTCTGTAGCTCTTTCAAAAATAAATAAATAAGAAAGAAAGAAAGACCCAAGATGTAGCATGCAACAGCATCTCCTAGCATATAACAAATTAATACAAATTTATTGGGTGGAAAATGGGGAAAAGGACAATAAAGATGGGTGGTTTGGTACTGATATAAAAGAGTTCATAAAAAGATAAACTATGGTCCGAAATCTTTAGCCCACATCAAAAACTTCACGTTCTTATGAATGCAGAAACAGGTCAGCCCTAGTTGCTGGGCTGGTGAAATCACGGAGGTGTAGCAATGCAGGAAGAAGCTCCTTTGTCAAGGACATCACTTCTTCTCTATGTCAGAATGATACTTCTTGGGCATAAGCCTAAGATTCTGCTTAGTCTCCCATCGATGTAGAGCAGACTGCTCGGGCATATTATCTTGCCTTATATCTTGGTCCTGTTGGAAAGAAAACACATCTAACACTAGCTGTTCAAAACTAACTGCAGTGCTTAGAAATGGTTTGCCTCTATGAATGTCATTTATTCACCAGGATGGGTGGTTCTAATCTAGACAGTTTGGGAGAGGCAGAATATTTAAGAAAAACATTTAGTTCATTGGTTTCCTAGCAGTAGATTAAAGAAATCTAAAGACTTGTGGAGATGGCAGCTAGATGACGAGAAAACTTCTGTAATTAGAAATCGGAAAATAAATAAATCCAAAATTGTTTAAGACAGTCATATCTTAACCTTACCTCTTCCTGCCACCTGTCTTCCCGGGGAAGCCTTTGCAACCGGTTTTTTGTCAGCTCAAGTTGCAGGCCATCGAATCTGCACTTGAACCAGCGGTGAGCTTCTTCCAGGTTAGCTGTTATCTGAACAGGTAAATGTTATCATTGAAAGTTGCTACAAAGAAGCAGTTAAAATTTCCTTGTGTATTAGTTCAAAAGATTTTTTACCTAGTTATTAAAAGATTCAAATTTGGACTATAAACTATTTATTGAATATACTTAATAACACGTCAAGAGAGTAATTTCTGAGTAAAGAATGCATTCAGGGTTGCTGCTTTTCATATATTTGTTTAATGTCTCTTGGTTATAGAAGTACGGTAAGACAGAACCAGAAAAAAAGAAATAATAGTCGGCCTGGCGCCGCGGCTCAATAGGCTAATCCTCCGCCTGTGGCACTGGCACCCCGGGTTCTAGTACCGGTTGGGGCGCCAGATTCTGTCCCGGTTGCTCCTCTTCCAGTCTAGCTCTCTGCTGTGGCCCGGGAGTGCAGTGGAGGATGGCCCAGGTGCTTGGGCCCTGCACCCACATGGGAGACCAGGAGAAGCACCTGGCTCCTAGCTTCGGATCGGAGCAGCGCGCCGGCCGCAGTGGCCATTGGGGGTTGAACCAAGGGAAAAAAGGAAGACCTTTCTCTCTCTCACTGTCCACTCTGCCTGTCAAAAATTAAAAAAAAAAAAGATGGCATTGAAAATGAAAGTATATACACGAAGAACTCTTAGAATGTGGTAGTTAAAAGTATCTTTTGAATTTTTGAGTTCCCTGTAACTAAGTATTTCTCAGGAGTCCCTAAACTGTAAAGACTGGGTTTTACTGTTGTGCTTCATAAACTAGTGGGATGAATATAAAACCGGACCAGTTTAGTGTACATTGTGTTATTTTATTTCCTTTATCATCAAAATATTTTACACTTTAACTGCTAATCAAAAACTTCCAGATTTTTTTTAGACTTGAAGAGAATCCCCCGAATAATTTGCAGTTGTTGATGACTTGGAGTCAGTATCTGTGTGTCTGACAAGTATTTACTGAGAGCCTTGATATGTAGCTGGCACTTTCCTACATTCTTGAGATACTTTGGTATTTTGAAGTAGAATAAGTTTTTTACATAAGGAGTCTGCAAATAATTCATGCAAAAAGGCATATTATAAACAACTGTGCAGAGATTTTGAAAACTTTTTCTATCAAAATACACATTTTAATCCCTTTTTCCAAGAACTTTATGAGGTACATTCCTATTTCTGTCTTGGCTGGGAGAAGGCAGAAAGAGCCTCTCTCTAGCTTATCGTGTATCTCGCTCACTAGCAGAGTATGACACAATGGGTCCTCAACAAATGTGCACTGAAAACTACTTGTCCCATGTTGGCTTTGATAGTGTCATTTAATTTTAGAAGCCACAGAGGAAAAATATAAGTATTTTCTAGTTCTGTTTGTGTATCCTGATGACAGCTACAATACCTCCACCTAAATCAAAGCAAATCAAACAAGCCAAACCCCACCTTTCCCTAGCACTCTTTTTTTTTTTTGACAGGTAGAGTGGACAGTAAGAAAGAGAGAGAGAGAGAAAGGTCTACCTTTTTGCCATTGGTTCACCCTCCAATGGCCACCGTGGCCGGTGCGCTGCGGCCAGCGCACTGTGCTGATCTGAAGGCAGGAGCCAGGTGCTTCTCCTGGTCTCCCATGGGGTGCAGGGCCCAAGCACTTGGGCCATCCTCCACAGCCCTCCTGGGCCACAGCAGAGAGCTGGACTGGAAGAGGGGTAACCCGGACAGAATCTGGTGCCCCGACCGGGACTAGAACCCAGGGTGCAGGCACCGCAGGCGGAGGATTAGCCTATTGAGCTGCAGCGCCGGCCTCCCCCGCACTCTTTATCAGGAATGGAGTAGACTGCACTTCACGTCCCCTACTGTATGGTAAATGGGAAGGGAGCTAACATTCATTGAAATTTACTCTGAGATAATCAGAGTAATAGCATAATAGATACTGAATTAATTTCCTTACAGAGGTAGCAACTGATGCATTAAAAAAGTAAACATAACTTCCCTAAGGGCACAGTGTCACAGAGGGTATTCAAACTTGGATTTGCCATAGTCCATATTCTATTAATGTACCATCCAAAGAGTCATACTGTCATGTAACTTAATGGATATAATGGGGGCAAGTCATGATCCACTGATAGTAACATCACTGTGATATCTTAAGAATTTCTGTATTCTTATCTGAAAAATGAGAGGTGGTTGTGATAGATGAATGATCTCAAAGATTCTTTCTAGCTCAAAATATATGATTTTTATATTCTCTCAAGAAGGCCACTTTTGGGTCTGGTATTGTGGTGCACTTGGTTAAGTTGCTGCCTGTGATGAAGGCATACGATATGAATGCCCTGTTCCAGTCCTGGCTGTTCCATTTCTAATCCAACTCCCTGCCAATGCACCTGGGAAAGCAGTGGAAGATGGCTCAAGTGCTTGGGTCCCTGCCACCCACATGGGAAACCTGGCTGGAGCTGCTGGCTCCTGTTGTGGTCTTTTGGGGAGTGAAGCTGTGGATAGAAGATCTCTCTCTCTAACTCTGCCTTTCAAATAAATAAATAAATAAACAAACCTTTTTTTTGTTTTGTTTTAAAGGTTAATCTAGGAGCAGGTATTTAGCCTTGTGGTTAAGACACCTATGTCCCACACTGGACCTCTCTGGGTTTGATTCCCAGCTCGTGACTCCAGCTTCTTGGTAATGCATATCCAGGGAGGCAGCAGTGATAGCCACTAATTGGATTTCTGCCATCCATGTGGGACACCTGGACTGTGTTCCTGGCTTTGTTTATTTCTTTTTAAAATATTTCTTTTTATTTATTTGAAAGGCAGAGTTAGAGAGTGAGAGAAAGAGGGAGACAGAGAGAAATCTTTCATCTGCTAGTTTATTCCTGCAGCTAGCGCTAAAGCCAGGAGCCAGGGGCTTCTTCTGGGTCTCCTAGATGGATGCAGGGGCCCAACCACTTGGGCGGGCTTCCGCTTTCTCAGGCACATTATCAGGAACCTGAATTGGAAGTACAGCAGCCAGGACTCAAACCGGTACCCATAGGGGATACCAGCACTGCAGGCAGCACCACACCACTACACCACAACACTGGTCCCTGTGTTCCTAGTTTTGGCCCTGGCCATTGACGGCATTTAGGGAGTGAACTGGCTGATGCAGCTCTGTCTTCTTTTTAAAATAAGACCAATTTAAGTTTAGAACAGAAAAGCATATCCCCAAATTAACTGAATAGAGCCTACTTTACACTTCTAGTTACTGACTGAACAAAGATTTCCTACTTTTGTTGGTTCATGTCAAACAATAATACATTAAGATCTGCATGCATATGCTGGTCTTATACTTGGAGAAGGGACTTGGACTTCAGATTTAATTAATATTCTAGCAGTTTGTTATCATGAGGGCATAGAATCTTAATTTAAGAGGTGCTTATTCTTTACAATAGAGATTATGATTAGCAAGTTAATGGTTCTTGCCTGTTGCTTTCCTGTCAACCAGGTTAATGAAATATTTCTCACTGACATGTATGTAACAGGGTTGTTGTGACCCAAGTCTGGCTCACCTGTTCTGATTCCACACTGGCTTCTTTCAGTTTATTCTCTGTTGCCTCTTTACATTTCCTCAGGTGTCTAATAGTTTCTTCCAATTCCTGAAAACATGATACAAAGATTTTTATGAACATCCAATGTATCATATGGAAGCAAAACGCTTAATATTGTAATAAATGGAAACCAAATTATGGGAGTTAGATGAGGTACTTTCTAACTCCAGGCATTAATATACAAAATAAATACCTTATAAACTATATGATTACAGTTTTTGATTTTGATTTATGGTTTCTGGTGAAAGTGATTAACATCTCTTTCCAGAACTAGTGGGCCATTTTTCATAAAAGACAATCCCTACTGAAGACAAGAGCTCAATGATCTCTTTAAGTTTCATTTCAGGGACATAATGTTATTCTTTTTATTAGGCTAGGAATAGCTAAGAGTCCCGTAAGAGCAACAACTTTATCTTGTTGTAGGCAAGAACTAAGGAGGATAAAGTTCCTGAAAGACTACAAAATTCAATCCAGAAGCTTTACTTAGGAATTGGTATTTTGCATTTATTCTTCAAAAATGAACACAACAGGGGCCAGTGTTGTGGTGTAGTAGGTAAAGCCACTGCCTGCAATGCTGGCATGCCACATAGGAGCCAGATTGTATCCTGGGTACTCTACTTCTGATCCAACTCCCTGCCAGTAGACTGGGAAATGCAGTGGAAGATGGCCCAAATGCTTGGGTCCCTGTATCCATGTGGCAGATCCAGAGGAAGCTCTTGGCTCCTGGCTTTTGTTTGGCTCAGCCCTAACTGTGTGGCCATCTCGGGGAGTGAATGGGTGGATGGAAGATCTCTCTATGTAACTCTTTCAAATAAATCAATCTTTTAAAAAAATGAACATAACTTTTATTAAATTGAAACTGGAGAACATTTGCCATTTTCAGACTATGGGGTTCTTCCTAGATACTATTAATTCTAGGGAGCTAGCTAGGATGAAAAGCTTGTGCATGTTAGAGTCATTAAAATCTTTGTGCTCTAAAGCTAGGTTTTGGTATATGCCATTTACTGAAAATCTTTGGGATGGATCTTAAGAAATGTTTTTACCCGACACCGAATCTCTAATTCCTGCCTTATTTTCCGCTCTGCCTCGAGTCGCAGCTCTTGCTGTTTATTTCGTGCTGAGGTATCATATTGGCTCTTGGCCAGCAACTGCATCTCTTTCTGCAGGTTACTCATTTCAGAAACAAATCTCTGGATACTCAATGACTGGGGGGCAACAAAGAGGGAGACATTTGTTGAATCCATCTGAATTTGGGATTTTGCATAAATGCTTAAAATAAGAGTTTGTGAAAGTCATCTACCTGTTCAAAGTTTTTCTTCTGATATTGATCCTTAATTAGCTCCATTTGCCTCAATTCCGTTTCTATTTGCTGAAAATAAATGTGCAAATAACATTAAAAGATGACCAGTGGAAAACCTGGCTTGCTCTTTTTGGCTATAGGATGATAGAATCCCATATGAGACCCAAAGGCATCAGTTCCTGCTGGGCTCTCTTCCCATTTGGCCTACTGATCCCAAAAGAGCAAAGTCCATGTCAATTAACACAGAAAAGACAGATGGGGAGCCAGAATGAGACACTGGCAGCTAATGAGAAACAAACATTTATATAGCAGCCCCTCCACCGGAAAAGAGACAGCCTCCCTCCCAGAGGCAGTCTGCCCGCTTCCCAGCTGTGACTGTAATCCCAAGGACACCGGCTGCTGTTCAGGCTCTGAAACCTGTCTTCCCCAGGTTTCACCAGCTGCCTGGACGTGCAAAGGATAACTAAGTGAGGGGAAGCTGAGGGTCTCTCATACAACCTTCATCCTCTCAATGTTCTGAACATTATTCGCCTTAGCCGACAAGTAGAGCTTAATTTGGGCTTTTTGATTCTTTATTTTCTCCTTGTTACTGTTCAGTAACTTTTCCAGCTCTGTAATTTTCTGCCGCAGCTCTCGGTTGGTCCGGGACACTTCCACTGATCTGAAGTTGGCTTCATCAAGGGCTTTCTTCAGCTTGGGACACAAAGGAAACAAATTGGAATATTTTTACCTTCCATTCAGTTAGAGAAGCTTGTTTAGTTTTATCTCTATGGTTTATTCTCTTTGGATATTTCTTTAAAAAGGAGGCTAAGTAAGGCAATAATAATGTCTGATTAAGCAGATACATGGAACAGATCAAGTGATTTTCATAATTTTTAACTCTAAAGGACAAAATCTTGGAATGGATAAAGAACATAAATAAATACTCAAATTTGCATTTTAAGAGCATGACTTGGGAGTCAGACTTAAACTCAGATTGCAGCTTTATTACTGATTTTAGGTAAAAATCAGTTGACTGCTTTTAGGTAATTTACTTCTTTACGCCTCAGGGTCATCATCTGAAAAGTCTGTGTACAGCCTATCTCATAGAATACATCTGACAAACAGGGTAACATAGAGAAAAGGTAGAGCCTGGCGCAGTCATGCTCAGTAATCATCACCAGGCTTTCATCTTTTCTTGTCGGTCACCTGCAACCTCCTTTCTATGGAAGTAAAAACTACACTCCAAGTAGTTCATTTAATTACTCATCAGCTACTGACTATCACAGTATTTTTATCTTTCTGTTAATAAGGATTGTCAACAAATTTCTAGCATAAAGAATAGCATAGTGATTGCAGAATTCTTCTCCTTCAAATGTTCCTGCAATGAGTGCCACCTGAACTTCAAGGAGGAGGCAGTTGAAAAGGGAGAAGTCAGGAAGGAGCCATTCTCTAGGGTTGGGAGTGTTTAACACATCAAAGAATGGTGTCAAAGCTCTCTGTGCCTTTTCTTGGCAGACTAGTTCCTTCCTTTAGGTCCCAATTTTTATTTTTTTTAAAGATTTTTATTCATTTATTTGAAAAGCAGAACAACAGAGAAAGAGAGGGACAGAGATCTCCTTCCTGCTGGTTCACTCCCTAGATGGCCACAATGGCAGGGTTGATCCAGGACAAAGCAGGGATCTAGGTACCTCTTTCAGTTCTCCTACCTGGGTGGCAGGGATCCACACACTTGGCCATCTGCTGCTGCTTTCCCAAGCATATTAGCGGGGAGCTGGATCTGAAGCAGAGCCGCTGGGACTCCAAATGCAGCCATGATCTGGCATGCCAGCAACCCAGGCTGCAGCTTAACCTGCTGTGTCACGATGCTTAGATCCTGGCTTTATACCAGTCTTTTATGACCACCCAACTAACCTCCTGTTAGATCATATACTGTTAATTACTGCTGTTTCTGGGGCCAGCGCTGTGGCGTAGTGGATAAAGCCACCACCTGCAGTGCTGGCATCCCATATGGACGCTGGTTTGAATCCCGGCTGCTTCACTTCTGATCCACCTCTCTGCTATGACCTGGGAAAGCAGTAGAAGATGACCCAAGTCCTTGGGTCCTGCACCCGCATAAGAGTCCCAGAAGAAGCTCCTCCTGGCTCCTGATCAGTGCAGCTCCAGCTATTGCGGCCATCTGGGGAGTGAATCAGCAGATGGAAGACCTCTCTCTGCCTCTCCTTCTCTCTTTGTGTAACTCTGACTTTCAAGTAAGTAAATAAATCTTAAAAAAAAAAAATTACTGCTGTGTGAAAGACTAAGTAAGCCAAGTATCACTTATTTGCACTTATGCTTAGGCACCGTGATAATTTCTTCACAAACACGTTGCAATGTAATCTTCAAAACAAACCTGGAAAGTAGTGATGATTCCTATTTTATGATTGAAGAAATTAAGACTCAGAAGTTACAATATTTACAAGTTAACACATAGCTAGTAATGGGCAGAGCTGGGGCTTACGCAACTCTAAGAGCCCACAGATGCTGCTTACTATTCCATGAAGTCACACTCACTCTCCTGAGTCCCCTCCCAAAATCACCATCTTCACTGATCCTTGCTAAATGGGTTTCAGCTTTGCAAGTATGCTGAACAATGCTCTGATTAAAGATGCATTTCCACATTTAATGCACTTTGTGGTCCCACAGAATTTGTTTTTTATAATCTTTCTCTTACTCTGAATTCTTTCAAATTTGTACACAGATTCTAGCTACCTAGGAAATGTTCTCTGATGCTTTTTCTATTTCGTGTCCAATATGGAGATTACAGTAAAATAAGGATCACTGAGCACAACCAGACTCAAACTTCATCTTTGACTACTGCCCTTGAATGCCTCTCAGGATATGGGTGCTGCATGATGGATGTTAGTTAAAGGAGATGAGGAGATAGTGACTTTATCTGTCAGATGGGTTTCCTTAGTCCTCCGTCCCTCAGTTACCACTCTGTGATGGGAAAGCTCGCATCAAGGCATTCCTTCTGGGCAGACAATTGTATGTCAGAACTGTCCTCTTGTGCACTGCTTTACAAATAGCACCGAGTTTCGGCTCAACTTGCTGAGCCCCTAGAGAATCAGAAGAGTCAAAGACCGTCAGCGAACATTCTCTGCGATCCTCGGACTACACTCTGAAGGAAACTGACCTCAGTCACTTCCCGTTGTGCCGCCTTCTTTGTAGTTTCTCTCTCCGTATGAAACTGCTTTCTTAGAGCTTCTATACGTTCAGCATGCATTTCTGCTTCCACTTTGGATTCCTCAGTTATCCGTTCTCTGTTTTGAAAAAGACAGATGATAAATCACTTTCCGAACTCATTGTAAGTGGTAAGAAAGATCTGGAGAGGAATGTGCACTGCTCCAAAATATGAGTTACAAAACCAAGTCACAAAGTAGTGGCTTAGTCATCAGATGAAGCCCTTTGACCCGGAGCTCATTAACAAGAAAAAAGCGGCACATTTACCTGTAGCAATAAAAACCCAAAAATGTCATTTAAACTTTTATTTAATGAATATAAATTTCCAAAGTACAGCTTATAGATTAAAATGGCTTTTTCCACCTCCCATAACTTCCCTCCCATCCACAACCCTCCCCTATCCCGCTCCCTCTTCCCTTCCATTCACATCAAGATTCATTTTCAATTCTCTTTATATACAGATCAATTTAGCATATATTAAGTAAAGGTTTCAACAGTTTGCACCCACACAGAAACATTGAGTGAAAAATGCTGTTTGAGTACTAGTTATAGCATTAAATCTCAATGTACAGCACATCCGCCATTTTACGAAATATCATTTTCTGTAAGAAGAGATCCAATATAAACAGTAAAAACCCACTTCAGGGAAAAATATTAGAGGAAGCAGTCATACTGGAAAAGAGGTATTTAGTTTTTTTTACTATGTCTTTTTGCTATCAGCTACGTACTCCATAAGTATTAACTTCTAATTATATTGTTTCTTTATCCTTAAAGTGAGAGCCATTGAACCATGCAGGAGATCAGATGGAGTACCCTGCTCCTGGCTTCAGCCTGGCCCAGCCATGGCTGTTGCAGGCATTTGGGGAGTGAACCAGTGCATGAAAGATACAACTTTCTCTCTTTCCCTCACTGCTTTTCAAATGAAATGAAAATAAAAGTGTTTCTTAAAAATTGAGAGCCTTATATTACTAGATCAGCAGTCTTAACTTGGGTTCCTGTGTCAAGATCTGTGCCTAGGCTTCTGAGGATGCTCAAATTCCTTGAAGCGAGAGACAAAATGTTGTGGATAGGTAAGTACGTTGCTTTTGACTCTTTCAAGAGTAAGTGACTCTAAAAATCATTAAAAAATGAACTTAATGTGCCGGCGCTGCGGCTCAATAGGCTAATTGTCCACCTAGTGGCGCCGGCACACCGGGTTCTAGTCCCGGTCGGGGCGCCGGATTCTTTCCCGGTTGCCCCTCTTCCAGGCCAGCTCTCTGCTCTCTGCTGTGGCCCGGGAAGGCAGTGGAGGATGGCCCAAGAGCTTGGGCCCTGCACCCCATGGGAGACCAGGAGAAGCACCTGGCTCCTGCCTTCGAATCAGCGTGGTGCGCTGGCCGCAGCGCGCCACGGCCATTGGAGGGTGAACCAACGGCAAAGGAAGACCTTTCTCTCTGCCTCTCTCTCTCTCACTGTCCACTCTTATAGACAATAGCAGAGACAGAGAGTACTTAATGTACAACTACTCTTTGAGTTACCAGTATAAGAATACTTCAAAAAGTTCATTGAAAATAGAATTAAAAGTTTACTTTGGCACAGAAGCATTTGAAAACAATGCACACATATTTAAGGGTAGGAGGAGCCTGCCCAGACATGAAATCTTCTTTGTCCTTCTCTCTCCTCACCAATTCATGTCCTAAGGTAGATTACATATGCTAGTTGTCCATGTGTCTCTGAAAGTGCCTCTAATAATGGATTCAACTGGTCCACTGGGCTCTCTGGCTTAGTTTAGAGATGAATCCAGCAGGTAGTAACTGCAATTGAACCTCCTGCCCCACTCCTGGCCCTTAGGTGAGCTTCTGTCTGATCTTCCTTTTCACCCACTGATCTCCTTGGCTTTCCTCTTTGACCATTTACTTTTTAAAACTTCTTCTATGTACAGAAATTGACCATCTGGTGTAGGATCAGTAAATATCAGTTGCAAAATTCAATGACTTTTTCTTAGGTCTCATTCCTTTGGACTCTGCAGCTCCTGACTCACTCATCTTCGCCTTCAGTGATAGTATATCCTCACTTTTTCCTTCCCTAAATGCTCCCTCTCTGGCCTCTATTCCCTTCCCCTGAAATGCAATGGATCCCCAGGTTGTGACATTGGTTCTCTCCCTTGTATACTTCTATAGCAATTTAATATACACTAATTTTACTTCAGATGTAGGCCTACAGTTCTAACTCTATTAAATATTTCACCTTGAAACAATCTTTCTGTGTACACTGGCAGTACAATTTTGCATATAACTTTGGGAGGCTAGTAGGTCTCAAGTAAAGCATAACTCATCATTGATGAAAATACAAACTATTTTAAGCAGTGGCAAATGCTCCAAGGAGAACTTATCCTTTTTTTTTTTTTTTTTTTTTTTTTTACAGGCAGAGTGGACAGTGAGAGAGAGAGAGACAGAGAGAAAGGTCTTCCTTTTGCCATTGGTTCACCCTCCAATGGCCGCCGCGGCTGGTGCGCTGCGGCCAGCGCATCGCGCTGATCCGAAGCCAGGAGCCAGGTGCTTATCCTAGTCTCCCATGGGGTGCAGGGCCCAAGGACTTGGGCCATCCTCCACTGCACTCCCGGGCCATAGCAGAGAGCTGGCCTGGAAGAGGGGCAACCGGGACAGAATCTGGCGCCCCAACCGGTACTAGAACCCGGTGTGCCGGCGCCGCAAGGCAGAGGATTAGCCTAGTGAGCCACAGCGCCGGCCCTGAACTTATCCTTTTCCTACAGTGTCGCTCCCCCTCTTCGTGGAGGAACGACACAGAGTCCTGCCTAGGCTTCATATCCGAGTCACGGCACCATTATGTCGCTCCCCCTCTTCGTGGAGGAACGACACAGGACCCTGCGCTGTTCTTTCGTCTGCTCGGCCCTCCCCGGGTTTGCTGCTGGTTCTTCCCGGGTTGGCTACTATCCCTTCCACCTCCGTGGAAGGGCAGTTCCCCCTGGCCACATTCCCCACTTCCGCAGGGGAGCGGCACACCGCCGGCCGGCTCTTCTCGGGGGCTGCACGGGTGTTCCTTCAGCTAGATGTTCCCCATAGATGTTCCTCGTGCATGCCGTCTCTCTCCTCCTTTATAGTCCTCCTCCGCCAATCCCAACTCGGCTGCCCACACGCCGAGTACGCTGCTCTCCTCCAATCAGGAGCAAGTCCTACAGTTTATTAGTTGAACTGGAGGCAGCTGTGCAGAAGCTGTTTACTTCTCTCCCAGCGCCATATTGTGGGAGAGCAGATGCATAGAATAAGTCCTAATTCCAGTAACTCAGTCTAGTCCGGTTTGCTCCCCACACTACAGATGCCCAAGCAATGATTTTTTTTTTAAAGCAGTAATGGAAGTGACTATATTTTGTTAAGAACTTTCAGAATTTGCATGGTTTGGAACAATTAATTACAAGCCATCTAAAACATAACTACCTACCTAAACTTAAAGGGTTTTAAATGATGCTGTCAATCACTATATATACAACATCATTTTAACCAGTAGTGAATAGTCTCAAGGCAGTAACATTTCACCAAAATATAAAATGTGTACACATCACATATATTAAAACTATCTTTCCTGTTTTAGCTTATACTTTTATCAATATGTTCACTAACTTAAAAGACAAAACTTTAGTGGCTTGACCTGAACCTGACTGGACTGACCTGACTAGTCTCAAGCCAAAACTGAAAATCATTAATGACAACATCTGCTTAGATGGAGTCATCCATTCCTGGGTGGACTGTTCTCACCCACACCGCTGTTACAAATTTTTAAAATTCATTTTCATTTTATTTGTGTGTGTGTATGAGAGAGAGAGAGAGAGAGAGAGAGAGAGACAATCTTTCATCTGGTGGTTCACTCTCTAAATGCCCAGAACAGCAGGGCTGGGCCTGGCAGAAGCCAGGAGCCTAGGACTCAATTCAGGTCTCTGACGTGGGTGGCAGGGACCCAAGTACTGGAGCCAGCCACTGCTTCCTACCAGGTGTGCATTACCAGGAAACCAGATTGGAAGCAGAATAAGCAGGATCTGAACCAGGTACTCTGACACAGGATGCAAGCGTCCCAGGCAGCAACTTCACTTGCTGCACCAAATGCCCACCCCCAAATCATGCTTCTGAAAGGCACATAAGCTTTGCAGAAAACTGTCCCTTTGCATGTCCCTCCAAACCAATATTTTTAATATAATAAATGGTTTAATCTTCATGTAAAGAAGGTTAAAATAAGAGAAGAGCAGAAAAGGAAAAACCAGTGAGCATACTCCAGCCCCTAGAATCTCCTGATGCTCAGCTATAATGGTTGCTCAGCACAGCTCTGCTGGAAGTACCAGTATAAAGAAGGAGAAAAGGATTTAACTGGTTTACAGGAATGAGCCAGATTTCTTCCTCCAGAGTTTCATCCCTTATTTTACTATGATGATACCACCCTTACTTGAAGGTTTCCAAATTCTGCCGCTCGATTTCTTTGCTTTCCAATTTTTCTTGAATGTGATCTAGTTTTGTTTGTAGGTGATTATTTGTCTGGAGAGCTTGCTCCAAGCTCATAGCCAGTTTCCTGTTGTCTTCTCTAGCTATATCCAGAGCTTTTTGTAGAGGTTCCATCTGAAAGAGATGAATAATTTTAATTTCACTCTAATAGATGCACCACTTCCATATCACTGTATATTCACTCCTTACCCTGTATAATCAAATACCATTGTAACAATAATCAGTTGGAACTAGAAGCAAAGATCCCAGGTGCCTTATATGTGAGAACTTATTATAGAATTGCTTTGCAGGCATTTAGAAGGCAATAGGAAAGGTATGTTCCATTAGTCACCTGTGAGTTTTGGAAAATAGAGCCAGCTTAATTTATCCTAATTAAAAACATTTTAAACTAGTTAAATTCTCTTTCCTGATCTCCTATCACCTTCTCATCTCAACACCCTAGAGAGATAAAAACTATCTATTGTTCCTTTTAGATTCTTCTCAAAAAAGCTTATTTACATGAAATAACCATGCATATTTTACATATGTGTATGTACCTACACGAACACATATTCACTGTATTTGCCAGCAAGTACACACATGTAAATGTGTCTCCTCATTCACAGTTGGATCACCTTAGTTACTTCTGACTAGTACTATAAGTTACTTTCTAAGCCCTTTAGCTCCTGAAATCAATTGTGCATTAATAAGTGAAAGGAATGTGGACAAAGAGAATGAGGAAAACTGTGATTCTAGCTTGCCAATAAATGGTATGACTCACTGTAAGAACATAAGTCCATTTCTCATTTGTAAATATGTAACTATCCCAAACAGACTTGAATGAAAAGGAAATTTGTCATGATTGTTTAATTTCATTTTTCTAAAAAGTAATATCCTGATAAGACTAAAAATATCAATGTTATCATCCATAAAAACCCAGCTTCTACCTCACTGCTATGCTGGGCATCCACGACAAGCATTCTAGCTTGCCACTGGTCCACTTCGGCTTCGAGTTTCTGTACCCTTTGTTGATTTATAGCCCTAAAAATAGAAAGCAAAAGAGTGAATATTGAAAAGAATCACCTAGGAATGACACTACTTTGGAGTTATAAGACAATCTTCTTCCCAGAAGGTCAAATAGCATCATATATAGTAGGTCATGAATGCTGAAAATGTTTGAGAGTTGGTAGATGGAACTTAGTAACCTCAACTTCAGGTTAAGAAGCTGAAACTCCTAGGAATTAACTTGTCCCTTTCATGATTCAATGTGGCTTGATACACTAGGGAATCAATACATGCCCCTGATCAAGTCATAGCCCAGTAATTTTACATTAACATTTCACTGGTTAAAAAGTTACCTCTACCAGTATTGGCTTGCTTTTAAAATGTTTGCTTCAAAATATATCAATTATCTAAACACAATATTTTTACAAATATTTTAATTCCATTCTCTTGATTTTTAAAGATTTTACTATCATAATATGTAAAAATAAAGAGAAACGGCCGGCGCCGCGGCTCACTAGGCTAATCCTCCACCTTGCGGCGCCTGCACACCGGGTTCTAGTCCCGGTCAGGGCACCGGATTCCGTCCCAGTTGCCCCTCTTCCAGGCCAGCTCTCTGCTGTGGCCAGGGAGTGCAGTGGAGGATGGCGCAAGTACTTGGGCCCTGCACCCACAAGGGAGACCAGGAGAAGCTCCTGGCTCCTGATCAGCATGATGCGCCGGCTGCAACAGCCATTGAGGGGTGAACCAACGGCAAAGGAAGACCTTTCTCTCTGTCTCTCTCACTGTCCACTCTGCCTGTCAAGAAAAGAGAGAAAGAGAGAAAGAGAGAAAGAAAGAGAGAAAGAGAGAAAGAGAGAAAGAGAGAAAGAGAGAGAGAGAAAGGAAGGAAGGAAGGAAGGAAGGAAGGAAGGAAGGAAGGGAAACATAATAAAAAAATAAAATTCACTTGTTTTCTTATAATACAGAGGGAATCTGTACCACTGTGACATACAACATATTTTAGGGGACCATATTAAACTTAGATTATTTGTTCTTTACTTAAATGGAAAAATTTATGTAATTTTTGAAACAAAGGAGTTTATTCATAAAACACAACTAGAAGTAGTTCTTAGAGTGATTTACCTAAAATAGTTACTAATTTTGAAACAGGACAATAATAAATGGATAATTAATTCAAACTAAAGTACAGATTTAACTTCAATTATCTAGGCAATTACCATTCTGTAGACCCAAGGGCAGAATTAGTTTTAAATGGTACTGCAAGCAGCAAGGATAAAAAAGGAATAAAGCACTTGAATTTCAAAGCCGCATATTCCTTCAAATCATGACACATTTGAGGAATTTAAAATTTTTAGAAATCAGACTCATTTCTGACTCCAGATTCTCCTTAACCTGTAGGTATTTGAACACCATTTTAATAGTCTCTCACAAAGGAAGTGATATAAAGTGACTTCACTTCCTCACTGGACACTGCTTGTGTACAGTGTACACAAGTGTACAGTGGAGACTGCTTGAGTACAGTCTCAAGAACAGAAAGCTAATGAAGGTACCTTTCTTTCTTGAGGCCTGCAATCTCCGAGTCCCTGCGCCCAAGCTCCATTTGAACTTTCTCCAGAGCACCTTGCATCTTACTGTGAGAGGCCAGCACGTTCTCCAACATGATTGTGACTTTGCAGTTGTCTTCCTTAGCCTCTGCCAATTGCCGCTGAAAGTTTCCTACCTATTAGAAAATTAAACAAGAAAAGATATTTGGCCCTTTCTGGTTACTCTTCTGCTTCTGCATCCCATTACTCCTAGCAAAGAGCAGGAAAGCAGACAAGCAGGCATGGTTAAATGCTCAGAGGAATAATTACAGGATATTTCATTTTTATGTTGTTTCCTAAGTTATTGTGCCTTTGAGAAAAAGAAAAAAGTAGCTTTCAGACCCTGTGGAGAACACTGCAGCTTTTCAACCATTGTCATCTCCACGGCACATAGATTAATCAGACACAGAGAGATCAATACATACTTGGGTCCTGAGGGTCTCCCAGGCTGGTCTCTCAGCTGTCTTCTGAAGGGGGTCAACAAAGGAGAGCACATCTGAAACCCATCGGAATTAGTATGTGTGCGGGAAAACCCACCAGAATTAGTATGTGTGAGGAGAAAGCAGAAGCTACAGAAGCAGCTGTGACTCGCGCCCCCTTCAGAGGGGCAACATCCAGCACCTGTTGTAAAGAAGCTTGGGATGTGACATTTGTTCCCTCCCACAAAGTCTACATCAGAGTAATGTTAAGGAGAAAGCATCATAGCAATGCTTATTAGGTTAATAAAACATCACTATGAAGGTCATTATTACTACCAAGGTCAGATGTACTTTAAGAAAAAATGAGAACTTTTTTTTGAATATTTTAAGACATTTCCAAAAAAAAAAAAAAAAAACAAAAAAAAACCCACCTACGACACTGGAACTACATAATGTACCTTTAAGAGAAATATTTTAAAATCATTCTAAAATTTCATTTTTCTAGAAAAAGAAACCTGCCTCTTATCATTTCTTACTAATGGAAACAAGAAATGAAGGCATCTAGCCCCTGAGAGAGTTCCTAAGCACTTCATCTCTGTAACAGCCTCTGAGATGGGTGGATGCCTCACTTTCTTGCTTTCTCTGTCCTCCAAGGCCTCCAGGTCCCCTTTCAGCCTCTGACTCTCCTTAAGCGCTGCATCACGAGACTTCACTGCCTGGGACAGCTCCTCTTCATTTTTTTCAAGAATAGATTTCACCTTAGCAGAAAAAAAAAAGGAAACAGTAAATAACTTCCTAAAACACTAAAACATAATACAGTGATTAGAATAAGATACAGCAATTTAGGAGGAAAACTTGGAATGTTTAACTAAATGTTTATCTACTACTATAAATAATTCTATATTAGCTGCTAGTTCCTTTAAAGAAAACCACAAAATAACAGAATATCTGAATAATATATTAGTCAATCTTCATGAAAACACAATAGGGAGAATGAGCCTATCTATCCAGCTGAAAAGTAAAACGATAGGAAATTATCATGGAACTTGCTCCTTTTGAAAATACAAATAATAAATAATAATAAAAGCAAAGACAAATAAGTATTAAATAGTGTCTATACAACATTTCAGCAGAATAAATCATAACTTGAGGTATTAGAACTTTAAATCTCGTGATATTTTTTGTGGGATCCACACAGTAATTTCAGCTAATATCATTTTAAACAACACTGTTCTTAAACTTTTTATTTTGAACTTTATATTTATAGAATGTTACAAATATGGTACAGGGGCCAGCACTGTGGCACAGTGGTTTAAAGCCCTGGCCTGAAATGCTGGCATCCCATATGGGCGCCAGTTCTGGTCCCGGCTGCTTCTCTTCCGATCCAGCTCTCTGCTATGGCCTGGGAAAGCAGTAGAAGATGGCTCAAGTCCTTGGGCCCCTGCACCGGTATGGGAGACCCGGAAGAAGCTTCTGGCTCCTGGCTTCAGATTGGCTCAGCTCCGTCCATTGCAGCCATCTGGGGAGTGAACCAGTGGATGAAAGACCTCTCTCTCTGTCTCTACCTCTCTCTGTAACTCTTTCAAATAAATAAATCTTTAAAAAAACAAAAAACAAATATGGTACAAAGAGTTCCATGAAGTCCTCATCTTGCTTCTAATGATAACATCTAATTATTGTTGTTCAACATCAAAACCAGAAAACTGACACTGGTATGTTATGGAAAACTAAATTACGGGAACTATTTGGTTTTTCACCTTTTTTAACCATCCATGGTTAAACACCACTTTTTCAAACATCCATGCTTATGGTGGGGTGAATGAGTGTGGGTTGATATGCATGCACACATGGTTCTATTAATTTGATCCAAAGTACATGACCATAATCATAATCAAGATTCACAACTACTTCACCACCACAAAGAAGCTCCTCATTTGATTCAAGTCCCTTCCAAACCCACCCCATTCTCTAATAATTGTTAATCATTCTCTATCTCTAGTTTTTTCTCTTCAAGAATGTTAAACATTTAACTATAAGTTTAATAAGTCAGAATTTTTGACAGCTTTACTGGGGTTACAATTGCTATATATTAAGATGCATAAAGTTAATAGTGTACAATTTGTTAAGTTTTGACATATATATAAAACCTTAAGAGCATAGGCTATGGAACACTTCCATTACCCCTAGTTTCCTTATGTCCCTTTGTAATCTCTCTCCAACCCAGTGTCTTCCTGATTCTACACCTGTACCCAAAGCAATCACTGATGTGTCTTCTGTTACAACAGTCTGCATTTCCTGTGATTTAATACAAATGGAATCATACTACATGCATTTTAGTGGCCTCTTTCACTTAGCATTATGTTGTGATTAATTCAATACACTCATGTATCCATAGTTCACCCCTTTTTATTGCTTAATATCATATTATCTTGATATACTACAATTAACTTATCCATTTGCTTTTTGGTCACTTGAGTTGTTTCCAGATTTAAGCTATTACAAATAAAGCTGCTGTGAACACTATGTGCAAGTCTTACAAGCTTTCATTGTCTTTGGCAATTTAAAGAGTGAACTGGCTATATTATATGGTGGTAGTATACGTCACTTTTAAATAAACCACCAAACTATTTTTCAAAGTGGTTGCGCTATTTTACATTCCCTTCAGCAGTGAGTTCCAGCTGCTCTATTTCCTCACTGCCCCTGATATGATCAGTTTTTAAAATTCAGACATTCTACTAGGTATGTGATAGCATTTTTAAAAAAGATTTATTTATTTATTTTAAAGTCAGAGTTACAAAGAGAGGCAGAGAGAGAAGGAGGGGGGGAGGGAGGGATGGGGATAGGTCTTCAATCTGTTAGTTCACTCCCCATTTGGCTGCAGTGCCTGGAGCTGCACTGAACCAAAGCCAGGAGCTTCTTCTGCATCTCCCACAGGGGTACATGGGCCCAAGGATTTGGGCCACCTTATACTGCTTTCCAAGGACATAGCTGAGAGCTGGATGGAAGTAGAGCCAGGACTTGAACCAGTGCCTATATGGGATGTTGGTACCGCAGGTGGCAGCTTTACCTGCTAATGGCCCCTGTAATAGCGTCTTGTAGTTTTATTTGCATTTCTTTAATGACTGAATTTAACATCTTTCAAGCACTTATTTACCATCTGTATATTTTTAATGAAATATTTAGTCAAAAATTTTAAAAAGATTTATTTGAAAGGCAGAATGTCAGAGGGATGGGAGGGAGGGAGGGAGGGAGGGAAGGAGAGAGGGATCTTTTATCTGTTGGTTCACTTCCCAAACCAAGGCTGGTCCAGGGTGGAAACCAGGAGCTATAATTCCATCCTGGTTTCCAACATGGATGGCAGAAGCCCAAGCACTTGAGCCATCTTCTGCTTTCCCAAGCACATTAGCGGGGAGCTGCAACAGAAGTGAAGCAGCCAAGACTCAAACCTGCACTCCAATACAGCACCTGCACTCCAGCAGCACCTTAACCTGCTGTGCCACAACGCTGATCCCCTCATTCAAATATTTCACCAGTCCTCTTTATTGAATTATTTTCTCTGAGATTTACATAAATTTTATGCATTCTCGAAACAGGATGTTAATCACATATGTGACTTGCAAGTATTTTCTCCCAGCTTATAGTTGTCAATTTGATAAAGTCTAATTTATCATTTTTTAAAAATTTGACAGGTAGAGTCAGACAGTGAGAGAGAGAGAGACAGAGAGAAAGGTCTTCCTTCCATTGGTTCACTCCCCAAATGGCCGTTACGGCCGGCACTGCGCTGATGCAAAGCCAGGAGCCAGGTGCTTTCTCCTGGTCTCCCATGCAGGTGCAGGGGCCCAAGCACTTAGGCCATCCTCCACAGCCCTCCCGGGCCACAGCAGAGAGCTGGACTGGAAGAGGAGCAACCGGGACTAGAACCTGGTGCTCATATGGGATGCCGGTGCTGCAGGCGGAGGATTAACCAAGTGAGCCACGGCCCCAGCCACCCAATTTATCATTTTTGTTAACTGATGGACCATGCTTTTGATATCAAAGAAAGCTTTGTGTAATATTAGGTCACAAGGAATTCCTCCTAGGTTTCCTTCTAGAAGTTATTACAGTTTTAGAACTTAGATTTAGATCTATGATCCATTTTGAATTAATTTTTACATACAGTGGAAGGTACGGATCAAAGACTTGTTTTTGCCTATAGGTATCCAATTACTTTAACATCACTTATTGAAAAGACCATCCTCCTTTATTTCCTTTCAATTTTATTGAAAATGAAATGTTTATAAAATTCTTTTAAGAGGTAAGTGTATTCACATTATTCTTAAGGTACAAGGGTACTTCAAAAAGTTCATGGAAGGGGTCAGCACTGTGATGTAGTAAGTTAAGCCTCCGCCGGCAGCATGGGCATCTCATATGGATGCTGGCTCATGTCCTGGCTGCTCCTTTTTGGATACAGATCTCTGCTCTTGCCTGGGAGAGCAGAAAATGACCCAAGTGCTTGGGCTCCTGCACCCACACAGGAGACCCAGAAGAAGTTCCTGGCTTCTGATAGGCCCAGCTACAGCCACTGCAGTCACTTGGGGAGTGAACCAGTGGATGGAAGATCTTTCTGTCTCTCCCTCTCTCTATCTGTAACTCCACCTCTCAAATAAAATCCTTAAAAAAAAAAAAGATCATGGAAAACAGAATTAAAATTTTGAGTATTTTGTTAACAAAACTTTAAACCCACAGTTTTTTTCATAGTATACATTTCCATGAACTTTTTTCTTGGTGTAACAAAGTAGTTTTTTTTTTAACTTTTATTTAATAAATATAAATTTTGAAAGTACAACTGTTGGATTATAGCGGCTTTTACCCCATAACCTCCCTCCCACCCACAACCATTGCATCTCTCACTCCCTCTCCCATCCCATTCTTCATCAAAATTCATTTTTAATTATCTTTATATACAGAAGATCAACTTAGTATATACTAAGTAAAGATTTCAACAGTTTGCACCCACATAGACACACAAAGTATAGAGATTCCTCATAGAAAAGTATAAAGTGAAAAATCTCCTGGTCACCTATTTTCCTTCTCAAAATAATACTGCCAGTTTAATATGATTGATTTTTATTATGATTCAGCTTAAGAGATATCCTATGTGAATATATATATATATCCTTTCCCTCCCTATGGCTTTTGCATGCAAATATTATAAAGTAGTATTGCAAGCTATACGGTCGCATGATTCATTTAGTTAGTCCGTTATTGATGAAATTTTGGTTGGTTCAAGTCTTTTGCTACTTATCAATAGTACTTCAGTAAGTAACCCTGTAAACATGTCACATGTTCCAGTAAGTGTATCTGTATGCAACAGTCCTAGAAAAAAAATTGTGGGGTCAAGTTTTTTAAGCAAGGCCACATCGGTCTCCACAGGAAGTTGTACTATTTTACATTCTCAATGACAACAAAGAATTTTTCCCACTATGTTTCCCCTGACATTATAACTTTAGAATTTAACTTGCATCGTTTAAAATATTTTAACTTTTTCTGGAATAACCCTAAAATAGTATGAAAGAACATAACTTGCAAGTCTTCAAAAAAATCTACTGGATTTTACTGTAGAAAAGTATATAATGCAGTTTTAAAATTTTAGCATAAGACATATATACAAAAAAAGTTAACAGAAAGTACCTAGTCCACTCTAGAAGATGAGCTACAGTACTTTCTATTTTTAATTATCAAGCAAAGATGGATGATGATCTACAAAGTTTTCTCTGGAAAATATTTCCAAATGTTCAGTTTCTTGGGGCTTTTGGATTAATTTATTTTTGTTTTTAAAATGGCCACATGTCCTTTTTTAAAAAGATTTGAAAGGTGGAGGGAGGGAGGGAGGAAGGCAGGGAGGGAGAGATATATATCTTCCATCCACTGATTTATTCCTCAAATGACTCCAAGAGTCAAGTGTGGGCTTGGCTGAAGCCCAGACCCAGGCGCTACATCTGGGTCTCCCACATGGGTAGCAGGGGCTCAAGTTCCTAGGCCATCATTTACTGCCTCCCCAGGCATATTAGGAGGAATCTGGATGTAAAGCAGGGGACTCAATCTGGCACTCTGATAACGGGAAGCCTGTAGCACAGCCAGCAGCTTAACATGCTGTGCTATAACACTGGCTCCCTCCCCAAAAATCAAGTTTTATCTAGCATTTTAGCTCAATTGTTTAGATAGAAATTTTTAAAAATCAAAATATACCTTAAAGCCGGCGCTGCGGCTCACTAGACTAATCCTCTGCCTTGCGGTGCTGGCACACTGGGTTCTAGTCCCAGTCGGGGCGCCGGATTCTGTCCCGGTTGCCCCTCTTCCAGGCCAGCTCTCTGCTATGGCCAGGGAGTGCAGTGGAGGATGGCCCAAGTGCTTGGGCCCTGCACCCGCATAGGAGACCAGGATAAGCACCTGGCTCCTGCCATCGGATCAGCGCGGTGCGCCTGCCGCAGCATGCCGGCTGCAGCGGCTATTGGAGGGTGAACCAACGGCAAAAGGAAGACCTTTCTCTCTGTCTCTCTCTCTCACTGTCCACTCTGTCAAAAAAAAAATATATATATATATATAAATACCTTAAAAAACTTAATTGCTATTGTTAAATCAAATTTTCTATGCCCAACACAAAAATTAATTATGTAGGGGCAGCTGTTTGAACTAGTAGTTAGGGCTTCAATTGGCATTCCCAAGTCCCATATCAACATGTATTCCAAATTTGGGTGTCTGGATTTAATGCCCAGCTCTGGATCCAGCTTCCAGCTAATGCATATCCTGGGAGGCAGTAGACAATGACTTACGTAGTTTGGTCCCTGGCACCTACATGGCCTGCTTAGACTGAGTTCCTGGCTTTTGGCTTGGCCCTAGTCCAGCCCCAGCCATTGTAGGCATTTGGGAAATGGGCCAGCAGATGGGAGCTCTCTTTTTGTCTTTGTTTTTATGCCTCTCAAATAAATACAGAATTTTTAAAAAGTTAAATGGTAATCAGGATGATGGTTTCAATCTACACCATTCAACATCAATTCTTCCCATTTGTGAAAAATCAAATTTCCTTCTTATTCCTGTCCTCAAGAATGATCTCTCTGGATTGTTACTACTTACCTTCATTCTTGTATAAATATGAAATTTCCATAAAATTTCACTTGGTCTTCACTTACCGAATCTCGTTTAAGAAAACTTGGTGATTCATCACTTAGTAATGGTCTTGAGGCAAGAATGTCTATTTTCCCTTCTAGTCTTCCCTCCATGGTTTTAATGGCATTCAAAAGAGTCTTCAGAGAGATTCTGGAGTCTCCAATCTCCTGAGACATTCTCACTGAAGGCAAGGTAGGTGCAAAGCTCACACGACGTGCTGAGTTTTGAATAACGCTGGGCAAACCAACTGATGTTCTTTCCTTTACAGAATTTACATAGGGCCTAGAGCTTTCAAGGGATTTTGAAGATGCAGGCCTCTCTGGAGATTTTCTTTTTCTTGGAGGCATCACCAATTAAAAACAATAAAATCAACTAAAATCTGAAGCTATTTCCCAAGAAGTACTCACTTTACTAGGCTAAACAATATACACAATTTTCTGGAAGAAGTCACAGTGAAAAAATATGTTTGCAAGTGTGTTCCTTTGCCTTTAGAAGGAAAAGATCACACTGTACCATACAATCTAGTGAAGAAACAGACCTTAAACCAAAGTCTCTGCAGGGCAGTGTATCTACTGGTGTCCCCTTTACTAACTTTATGACCTCATCAACAACCAGTGGAGTCAGGTGGTTAGAACCCTATCAGTATTCCATTTAAAGGCATATTCTAGCATCCTGGTTACTAGGGATATGTCTTTATACATGTAGTATATATATAAAATATCAGACATTAGAGTTTTTTAAATATTCAAGCTAATTACATATATGGTAAATTTGTAAATGATTGAAACAAATCCCTTTTTGTAACAAATGTCTAGGTTACGCTCTTCACTAAATGTTTTATATATGTTGCTTGTTCAATTTTTCTAAATGCATCTTTTAAGATGTTACATGACCTATAAAGATTTTCAGCTTCAATAGCCAGCAGGCTGATAAACAAGCATATTTACAACTGATACATCATTCAGGACAGCATCTGTCTGTTGCAAGTATACTTTGTTGGCACTGAGACCTGAGTTTGCCTGTAATTCAAAAAACATCTCCCAACATTTTTAAGGCTCAAATTAAAAGCCACTTTGTCTGTGACAGTGTTTCCCACTGCTTCTCATTTTAACAATGTTCCCTATGAGCACTCATTGATACAGTCTTTTTTTATTAAAGGAATCCTTTTCTATTCCATAATAAAGTTTGCTGAATACATTCCTAAACATCGTTTTAGAAGTTAAATGTTCCAATCTTGCTTCAGGGATCTTTATGAATTCCCTCATGGCTTAGCAGAAGGTGTTTAAAAAAATTTTGTTGAACTGAGTCAGGTAAGAGTATACTCATCTTTCTGGGACTGCACAGTATGTTCAAAAATATCAAATTTTTTTTTTGACAGAGAGAGAGAGAGAGAGAGAAAGGTCTTCCTTTTCCATTGGTTCACTCCCCAAATGGCCGCTGCGGCCGGCACACTGCGCAGATCCAAAGCCAGGAGCCAGGTGCTTCCTCCTGATCTCCCATGCAGGTGCAGGGCCCAAGCACTTGGGCCATCCTCCACTGCACTCCTGGGCCACAGCAGAAAGCTGGACTGGAAGAGGAGCAACAGGGACTAGAACCCGGCGCCTATATGGGATGCCGGCGCTGCAGGCGGAGGATTAGCCAAGTGAGCCGCGGCGTTGGCCCAAAAATATCAATTTCTTAAAAACTCAAACAGGCTGGCATTGTAATGCAATGGGTTAAGCTGCTGCTCGTGGACTGCCAGTTCACATCCCAAATACTCTACTTCAGATCCAGCTTCTTGCTCATACTCCTAGGAAAGCAGCAGAAGATGGCCCAAACACCTTGGCCCTTGCCACCCACGTGGGAGACTCGGACGGAGTGCCTGGCTCCTGGCTTCAGCCTGGCCCAGACCTGGCTGATGCAGCCATTTGGGAAGTGAATCAACAGATGGAATAAAAAAACCTCTTTGTGTCTCTCCTTCTTATTCTGTGTCACTCTTTCAAATCAATCAATCAATCTTTAGAAAAAAAAAAAAGACCCTCAACATTATAACAGCAATCTGTTTTTGCAGCTATTAATCACACCTGAGCATATTTGGCCTCTAACGTCTTATTCAGCTTGCACAGATGGTCATTCTGTAGATTGGTTTCAGTAAGAGAATGTAGTTGTTCTTCTAGCTGTTTAACTTTTATCTAAGAAAAAAATAGAAAGATAATAAAATAAACATCATATATTCCAAAAGGAAAAAAAAGTCATGCATATTGCAAAAAGTACAGATAACACAACTTGTAACAAACAATTCAAAGTTTTTCTATTCATGTAAAGAAAGCTATTTCAATTTATAGCTAAAAGTAGCCTATATCCATTCAAATAACTCATTTGATTACTAGTACTTAAGTGAAACCCCAAATGGACGCAATTCATAAATATAGCCATGAAATTTTGTGGTTAATATATCTTTCAAGAAATTATGGGAACTGGCATTCAAAAACCTTTTTGAATATGAATAATTAGAATTGTTAGTAGGCAAGAAGGAAATAGAATCTTGTGTTTTGCTGAGAGAGAATCAGAAAAGTTGAACAGAAAGTCATTTTTATGCTGATTTATACTTTAAAACAAACAATGATGAGTACTCACATTTTTCTCCTCAAATCAAATAATTTTGCAGGGAAAAAAACATTAATTCAGGAGGACTCCACAAAATTGTGGAAAAATGGAATTAAAAGATGTTTATTTTGGTGCAAAAACATTTTGAAATCTATGCATAGATTTTCCAAAATATGTAGTTTCCATGAATTTTTAAAGACCTCCCTCATATAAATCTCCAAATTCTGTTTTTCCATATTTCCTCCTCTTATTCCCAAACTTCTCATATAAAACAACAATTAACATTATGGGGTCTATCTTGAATCAATAAAACTTTCATCCAAAATTTTACCTAATTTTTTTCCCTCTGCAATATCTTTTCTTATTTCCTATCTTTGGAGGGCAAATAGCTCTTTGGGTGTAATTACCCAACATTTTCAGGAAGTTTTAAAATTGAAGTACTGATATTAAGTTTTTTGGAAAGTCTACATTGTCTCAGATGGACCTCCCCTGTTCCATCAGCAGACTCCTTCTTTGACTTTCGCCAGCTTGTTGCTGCTTAGGTAGAGCATAAAGCATACACATGGCTCCCTAAGGCCATCTGTAACAATCATCCTTTTCATTTAAGTTTCAGAATTAAAATGGCTGCCAATAAATGGAGGTATTGGTATAACACTCATTCTCATTTTAAATATAAACAAACTGATGTTAACCCATATAACCCAAGGGAAAGTTGAATCTGACTCTGCAGACTTAATTGCCTCTCACCAAAGGAAACACAGAATGCCCTCATTTCCCAACAGTCCTCATATATTACCCTACTCCTCTCAGTATCCAATAAAGTGTCCTGTGAGATTCATCATATGGCATGTTCTCATCTATAACACACCTTACTCTTCAGATTCAGTTTCTCATTTGGTAGAATTTCTAATATTAGACATTCAACATGGAAAAGTATATAGATGGACAGGTCAGAAGTAAATACCGCTGGCTCTTAGAGGTCTGGTGTTTCTGTGATATTAAAATCAAGCAGTTTCTCTAACAAGTTTATCAACTAGTCTCAGGAACAGCAAGGGCATATCCTCACATTGTTTCAAATGATCTATGATATAGCCATAAATATTTCATGAAATTATCAAAGTAACAACATGGGGGTCAGTGTTGTGGCTCAGCAGGGTAAGCCACTCTGCCTATGTCCCTGGCATCCCATATGAGCACCAGTTTTAGTCCCAGCTGCTCCACTTTTAATCCAACTCCCTGCTAATGCCTGTGGGAAAGCAGCAGCAGATGTCCCAAATGCTTGGGCCCCTGTACCACATAGGGACCCAGATGGAGTTCTGGGCTCCTGGCTTTGGACTGGCCCAGTTTCAGTTGTTGCTGTCATTTGGTGTGAATCAGCAGATGGAAGATTCATTCTCTCTCTCACTTCGTCCTCTAACTCTGCCTTTCAAATAAATAAATCTTTAAATAATGTTATTGAAGGTTGAAAATAACTAAGAAATGAAAAGGAACCCTCATTTTAAAATGTTTTGCAATCAAAGTATTTTAAAGTAATTCAATTAAGTTTTACAAGATATTTTTTGTTGGAAATATTGTAAATTTGAAACAAAGTAGGGCTTGTCTATAATGTCATTCATTTATAGGTTGAAATGGGCTTCAGAAATGAAAATCTATTCGGTCAAAGTTACATATTTTGATTCAAAATACAAATGTATCTTGAGGAAACTGTGATCATTTTTTAGTACAGCATACACAGTTCTTTTTAAAGCCTCACTTTAATATTCATGCCCAACCAAAGAACCACAACAAACAACACAATTACAATGTTGGGTAAAAGAACAAGATACAAAAAAGTATATGCTATATGATTATACGAAATGCAAAGACAAGTAAAATTTATCTAACGTGTTAGAAATCAGAACGGTAACTTCCTTCGGGGAGGACAGTTCTGGAAGTGGGTTCTGGGTGTTGGGAATGTTGGTTTTTTGATATGGGTGTTGATTAGATAGGCACATTAACTTTGATAATCAGGTTATACCCTGTGTACTTTTTGGTATATATGTCATGCTTTTGTATCCAAGAGTATAGGATTCAAGTAAAAACAGGGAACTGGAACAAAGGCCGAAAATCTGCAGAAGTAGTTTACTCTCTTGAGCTTCTATTTCAGAGGATGTTCCAAGAAAGCATACTTCACTCTGAGGGAGTGAGACCACCACAAGTAAGAAAGCTGCAAGAAACCATTTTGAATCAGATTTCTGAACATGTAATATATGTAGACTTGTACTGCAAGCAGGAACTGCCTTCCAGCTCCCCCTTTTCTATATCCTGGACATTCTCTGACCCTTGCTATATAAAAGCTCTAGCAATTTGTTTTTCATGGGGGATAGTTCCTTTAGGGAACTGTATCCTCCCACTGTTTCCTTTACTTGTCACAAGTAAACAAAGCTTTTCTTAAACAGCTCCCAAAGGAGGCTGATTATTTGGTGATACCTCAAGTGAACAGACCTGTGGTTTCCACTAACAATTCAATAAAAAGTTTACTAAAATGAAAAACGGGACAAAACAAAACAAGTGTGGTTGTTTATAGGAGCCAGGCTTGCTGACATACTTGACTCCAGTCACTCTAAGTGTTGGAGCCGATTGTAGGTTTGAGCAATCCAAAGAATTCAAACTGACCCATGTTTATGAACAATTTAGAAAGTGTTAGAAGTATTTCAGACTTATAGGAAGATACTTCAAAGATTCGTGGAAAAATGGGATTGTTTTGTGTAAAAAAAATTGAAATCCATGTTTTTCCATAATATTCATTTCCCACAAACTTTTCAAGATCCCTTGAATGGTAAATCCTATCTATTCATCATTCAACTTAAATAAATTATCAGTATAAGTCAATTTTCTGTATATTCTATCCAAATCAAGTCTCTTATCTCTATCCTAGAGTTAATTCCTGTGAATTTGGTGTTTATCACATCCATTCTTTAAAAAATAATTTTACTATATACACATCCCTAAACAACATGCAGTATAAGATGAGATTTATCCATGCTAACAGATGAAATTCTATTTCTTAAAAAAATTTATTTGAAAGGCAGATAGAGATTTTACAGATGCTGGTTCACTCCCCAAATGCCCACAACAGCTAGGTGTAGGCCAGGCCAAAGCCAGGAGTCTGGGACTTCATCCATATCTCCCATGTGGGTGGCAGGAGCCCAAGCACTTGAGCCATCATTTACTGCCTCCCAGGATGCATCACCAGGAAGCTGGATCAGAAGTGGAGCAGCTGAGACTCAAACCAGGACTCTGATATGGGATGCAGGCATTGCCAGTGACAGCTTAATATGCTGAGTCATAATGCATGCCCCAAAACATATTATTCTAATGTATCTAATTTAATATACCATCTTTCAAATTTTACTTTTAAAATTGTCAATAACTGCCTTTAAGAGAAATTTAAAAAGATTAGACAACAAAAATCAGAAAATAAATCTCATACCTGGAGTTTTCCCTTTTCATAGGCCAGTTTATTTTTACTTTCGGTAATTTTTCCCAAGACTTTTTCCACCTTCTGGTGGGCCAGCTGATAATTCGAACACAGATATTAGTAACTCTTGGCACATAAATAATCATTTCTCTTTTTAATATAAATAGTCAAATTTCTGTAGTAGTAAGATTAAGATTCATTTTTATTTGCTATTGCTATCCTAGGTAGTTGATTACCTTGCTAATATGGAACAAATACAGAAACTGCTAACAAAAGTATGAAGCTTTCAGATTCCCAGGGTTTGTTGTTGTGTACTGATTTTTTTATGTTGATTATTTCTTTGTGGTTTTGATCCAAACTTGACATGTTATAGTTGCATGAGGAAGTTTGAGGAGCGTTATATAGTTCTTTAAAGAAACAAGAGTTGCAAATGACAATACTACTAACAGATAACACTTCAGTTATTACAATAAAAGCAGCAAAAAAAAATCTCTAAACAATGTTTATTGGAGACTCAAATTCATTTTTTGATCAAGTACTCAACACAATGTTTTTGGAAACAAACATTACTGAAAGTTCTATATTTAATGCAAAGACATATTCATGATTTCAACAACCTTTAACAAATTTGCAGGTGTTCTTTTTTTAGACTTTGTCAGAAAAATATATAGTTTTATTTTCATTAAATTTTGAGCCTTACTTATACTTATTTTATAAAATATGAGTACAATTATGGTGATTGAATATGGAAATTTTCACCTTCCATAATCAAAGTCAATGTTGTATCTTAGTACAGGAAATAATTAGAAGTTTCCATATGTCAAAATGATCTTCATAAACTAAATACAAGGACAATACACAGAAAACATGACTGAGAACAGTCACTCATAGACTGTTCTAGGAACACTATACATCATTCTATATTGACACAATTCACTGTTTCTGGCTTATATATGCTTAATCTGTGAGCAACAGAACAGAGGGTCTTTTAAAAATTTCAAGTGAAAGAATTTAGACATTTTATGTTCAACTTTGGACAAACTGATAAAGATGAAGCCATGTATGTAAAGGTACTGATTTACACAAGAGATGCTCCTCACTGTCTCCAATATCATCACAGCTCTTCCCTAGCCATCAATTCAGCATGATTTATTCATTTTGTAGTACACTTTATCACACTTTTAGTGTTGTGAATCCAATACACCTGTTTCTTAAGAAAATAAAATCACATTCTGAACTAAATTCTATATAATAACTCCTTTTTATCTCTTCGAAATCTTTTCAGGATAGAGTATGTCCTAAGAGAAGGCACACGAGTCTAGAGCATTGTTTTCTCCTTGCTAGCTGCCTTAGCTAAAAGAACTTGGATTTTACACATTCTAGATTTGATAAAAATGCCACAAAGAGTGATTCACCTACCCTAAAAGTATGCACATTTGTTACAAAAATTCAGATCCAATATCAGGCTTCAGGGGATTATTAACTTTTATGACCATCTAAGTATCAGACAAGAGATGTAGTCAGCATCCAAAAATAGACAGTGACCAAATCACTGGCAACATCTGTCAAAGTCATTAACAGTGTAGGACCATAGGCCTCTTCACTGCCAGTATGTTCAGGAAATAATGAGATATAGTCTTCCAGAGGGACCCAAACTAGAAGGCTGGATAAGCCCAGCTGTACAACAAATGACAAAGCCTAATCTTTAATCCTGAGAGGGTTGATCTGGGGTAATACTAAAAATTACAGCTAATGGATTTTACCATTCTAACAGACTTTTTTCCTGGGACAGTTCAGATAATTAGAATTCAGCAAATGTTAGATACTTGCTACATGATTTCCATGTACTAACTTAATCTTCAAATAGCTTCACAGTAATAGTATTATTAGCCTCATTTTGACAAGATTAAAGAAATAAAGTTAAAGATCATTCCTAAGGTCATAGCCAAAATTGAAACCTGAAAAGTCTGGCTCAAAAGTCATGAAAACGTAGTAAGATTTGGCTTAGTCTGTGCAATTTTTCATACTTAAAGTGAAAAGCAACTTACGACAAAGTTAGAATTTACCTCAGATTAAGAAACACATCAAGGCCTTCTATGGAACTTTCAGATTAGTTGCATATTATAAAGGCAATGATTCTGTTTCAAATATTAAAAAGCACACAGGGTAATTAGTAGCTTCTTAGCAGAATGATAATTTTTCTAAATCTTCTACACTGAAAGAACACATTTTAAGGATTCTGCTATTTATTTGTAATGCACAGACTTTGTCAGATAGCTTACTGACTACCTAACAGAGGGTACCGTCAGTAGAAGAAATGCAAATTTCTTCCTCATAATTTATGGAAGAGGAAATGTGTTAAGCAGATATGTTTGTACTTCTCAGTTTTATAGATCATCTGTGTAGGCAAATGCCTTAAATTCTTATTTTCTTAAATCCTGCATTGTTTGGATACTGCAGAAATCTCTATCATATCTATCCTGAATTTTGAGAATTATTAAAACACAAAGAAAATCCATCTCCTATCTTCAGATTTTTTTAAACTCATGAATCGTTAATTCCTACTTTAGACTGACCTTTTTATACCCACCCCATGGTAATCAGAAGTGACTTGCTGAACATCTAGGGAAGCCATTTGATCTGTCAGGTGCTTATTTTCTTCCAATAGAGTGTGCAGGTTTTCATTTAATGCATTTATGTCTACCTTTGAAAAATAAAATGAAAATAAACCATTTATGCCAGATCCAAAAAATCTTATTTTTAAAATGATAATGGTAACTGTAAAATGAGGCACCTGATGCATCTTTTCCCTCCATCTACCTCTAGGGATTTGACTAGTCAGTATGGCAACTCTGACATGCTTTAAAAATCTTTCTTTTTCATTTTTTTCTAGTTGTGTTCATCAGCTGGAGGGTTATTATTGCAATTTACATAGTTTACCTTTGTTAGAAGTGGAAGCCCTTCTAGTATTTACTTAAATTCAAGTTTATATATATGTAAAATCCTCCACAAAACATTGGTAAAACAGATGCAACAATATAAAAAACTTAAGTTATTTCATAAAATTCTCAAAATAGACATAACTGTCTATATAAGAAATTTTGAGGGATCTAAAAAAAAGATACTAGAATAAGTGAATTTGTCACACTTGAAAGATACAAAGTAAACACAAATTTTTATACAAATACCCATGCGCATGTGCGCGTGCACACACACACACACACACACACATCATCCCTACTAATTCTAGGAGCCACCCCCCTCAGTACCAAATCTGTAGATGATCTAGTTCTTTATATAAAACATTGTGGTATTTGCATATAACCTACACAATCTTCCCCTATATCTTAAATGATCTCTAGCTTACTTAGAATAAGCTAAGTGTAAATGCCAGCTAAATAGTTTTTATACTATATTTTTAGAGAATAATGACAAGAAAAATGTTCAGTACTTTTAAAAATTTTTGGAAAAAAATTATATAAGATTTATGTATTTGAAAGGCAGATAGAGGGGAGAGGAGAGAAAGGAAATAGAGGGAAGAGGGGAAAGGGGGAAGGGGAGGGAGAAAGAGAAGGAGAGAGAGGGGGAGGGGGGAGGGGGGTTAAGGGGAGGGGAGGGGAGGGGAGGGGAGGGGAGGGGAGAGGAGGGATTCTCCATCAAGTGGTTCACTTCCCAAATGGCTGCAACATCTGGGGCTGGGCCAGGCTGAAGCCAGAAGCCTCCTCCAGTGCAAGGGCACAAGCACTTGGGTTTTCTTCCACTACCTCCCAAGGTGCATCAGAAGAGAGCTGGGAGGGAGGTGGAGCAGTCAGGACTCGAACCAGCACCCATATAGGATGCTGTCAAAAAAGGCAAAGGCTTAACCTTCTATACCACAGTGCTGGCACCCCAGATATTTTTGATCTATGGTTGTTTGAATCAATTGATACAGAACCTACAGATACGAAGGATGACTATACTAACAAAAATCAGAAATTTCTATTTTTTACATTATAGTACGAATTTCAATAGCAAATTTTTATATATAATAGAAAATATTCTCAAAGCATAACAACACAGAAAATACATGGGAATTAATCTAAAAGGAAATATTTAGGACCTATTTTTTTTAAACAAACCAGAATTATTCTGTGTTTGTCTTTGAAATTTAGGGTTTTTTTTTTTGAATTGATATCATTTCCACAGCATACAATATATCTACTTAAAGTATATAATTAAATTTTTAATGATTTCATTTTGAAATGAAATGTGAGCATCCCAAGTGGCAGATTTACCTTCTGCATAACCTTCTTATGACTCATTCCAAGAAAAACAGCTAAGAGTTCCCATCCAGGGGCCAGCATTGTGGCTTAGTAGATAAAAATTGCCACCTGACACTGGTATCCTACATGGGCACTGGTTTGAGACCTGAATGCTCCATTTCCCATCAAGCTCTTTGCTAATGCACCTGGGAAAGCAGTAGAAGCTCGTCAAAGTCCTCATGTCCAAGTTCTTGATGCAGAATATTATATATCACCATGGGCCACACCCTGCTGTGCTGCAAAACATGAGAACCTGGTATATTCACCCTACTGCAAGAGGAAATATTTATTTATTTATGTATGTATTTATTTATTTATTTTTGACAGGCAGAGTTAGTGAGAGAGAGACAGAGAGAAAGGTCTTCCTTCCGTTGGTTCACCCTCCCAAATGGCTGCTATGGCCGGCATGCTGCGCCAATCTGAAGCCAGGAGCCAGGTGCTTCCTCCTGGTCTCCCATGTGGGTACAGGGCCCAAGCACTTGGGCCTGGGCCAGAGCAGAGAGCTGGACTGGAAGAGGAGCAACCGGGACAGAACCCGGTGCCCCAACCGGGACTAGAATCCAGTGTGCCGGCGTCGCAGGCAGAGGATTAGCCTAGTGAGCCACGACGCTGGCCAGAAATTTTTATTTCTAAAAACTGTCAATTATGACAGTTCCCAAACCAAAATATTCTTAGGTACAAATGTAATGAAATATGTCCAAGATTTGAGACACTGAAATTCCAAATTACTCAAAGAAATAAAAGACTTAAATAAAATGGCAAGATGTATAGTTTATGTATTACATGATTCTATAGTGTGAAGATGTTAATGACCTCTAAATCCCAATTGAAATCTCTGCAGTATTTTGGTAAAAATCATGGTCATTCTAAAACATATATGAAAAGGCAAAAGAACGAGTGTAGGTAAAACAATTTAAAAACCAACACAGTTGGAGGACTACCTAATTTCAAGACCTACAAAATTATCATAATCAAGAATTTCAAATTGGGACTGGCATTGTGCCATTGGGCTTTCACCTGCAATGCAGACATCTCATGAGTGCTGGTTCAAGTTCTGGCTATTCTACTTAAGATCAGTTTCCTGTTCGTGCACCTGGGAAAGTAGCAAAGATGGTCTAAGTGATGATCTCCCTGCACCCACATGGGAGACCAGATGGAGTTCCAGGTTCATTGCTTCGACCTGGCCAGCCCCAGCTGTTATAGCCGTTTGGAGAGTGAACCAGCAGATGAAAGCGAGCTATCTCTCTCCCTCTCCCTCTCTCCCTGTAACTATGCCTTTCAAATAAATAAATAAAAAAGGGAAAAGAAAACTGTTCAAATAAAATAGAATTAAAAGATAATTTTTAAAAAAGAATTTCATATTGAAAGAAGAAAACCACATAATCAATGGAACAAATAGAAAATCTAGAAGCAAACGCACACATTTATGGTCAATTGATTTTCAACAAGGGTGCCAATGCAATTTAAATAGAGCAATAACAGTATATTAAAAGATGCTACTAGATGAGTGACATCAGCAAAAATCCTTTTCTCTATAGAAGCAATGAAAACACCAGCAAATACTGTCACAGTGAAATTTTTTTTTCAGAACTCTGGAAATTAACAACAAAGATAACCAGTAACCTAGGGAATGGTTACTGGAAAAAAAGGGGCTGAACCAGTGAGCTTTGTGATATTTCAACTTGCCTCGTTCCCATTCTCCAGCTATGCAGTAAATCAATGTCCTATAAGCAACCAATAGCCTGGCAGTCACCAGAGGGGAAAAACAGGGTTGTAGTACCTTCAGAGCCTCATGCCCAAAGCACTGTCATGTATGTTCATTCTGGTGACTCCCTGAAAGGCCACACAAGCAAGGTTGCCTTGATTTGGGCTGACTCGGGGCTCATTCAATACAAAAAGCCTTTTTCACAGAAGCAAATGTTAAAAACAATTATAGAGGCCGGCGCTGTGGTGTAGTGGGTAAAGCCGCTGCTTGCAGTGCCAGCATGCCATGTGGGCACCGGTTTGAGACCTGGCCACTCCTCTTCTGATCTAGCTCTCTGCTATGGCAAGGGAAAGCAGTGGAGGACGACCCAAGTCCTTGGGCTCCCTGCACCCATGTGGAAGACCTGGAGGAAGCTCCTGGCTCCTGGCATCAGATTGGTGCAGCTCCAGCCATTGCAGCCATTTGGGGAGTGAGCCGGCAGATGGAAGACCTTTCTCTCTCTCTGCCTCTGCCCCTCTGAAAGTCTTTTAGGTAAATGGATAGATCTTAAAAAAATTATAAGTAATGGTTACCTTTGCAGTTGCTTGAGGTAGTAGATAAGAGTTGTGCATATGATAGACTAACCAAAAAATTCAAAAGAAAAATTTATGTTATGAGATAACCAAAGGAGACTTTGAAGGGCTCTGACATATTCTTGGGACTCTGCCAAAGTCAAGAATGGGTATAGGGTTTTGTATATATCCAGAGCTGTGTGCATGCTTAGAAAAGATGTGAAAAGGTCCTAAAATCCCACCTCTGTGAGAAAGACCTTGACTGCTGTGCAATCAGAAGGCCAAAGGAGAGTTGTCATCTGTTTGAAAGAATGTTGAAGGCATGCCCCAAATGTATATAATCAAATTGTTGAAAGCAAGAGTCTGAGAATCTAGAATGCAGAAAAAGACAAATAGCTCATCAAGTACAAGGAATCCTCAGTAAGATTAATAGCTGATTTATCATCAGAAAGTAGTGGCAGTGGAGTGCTATCTTCAAAAAGATGAAAGAAAAAAAAAACACTTAAGAATTCTAAATGCCTGTGTTCCCTATCAGAGTGCCTGGGTTCAAACCATGGTCTGCTGCTGACTCCAGCTTCCTACTAATGTACATGCTGGTGGGCAACAGGTGATGGCTCAAGTAGTTGGGAGCTGATCGATGGAAGAGACTTAGTTCCTGGCTCCCAGCTTTGGCCTGGCCCACCCTAACCATTGAGGGTATCTGGGGTGAAAACCAGTATATGGCAACTTTATTTTTTCTCTCCTTGCCTCTCAAATAATAAAAAAAGACAAAGAAGTTAATATATTCCAAGATAAACAAAAATGAAAGAATTCATTAAAGGGTTTTTTTTCTGGCTTAAACATACTCCTGAAGATGTGGCCCTTGAAAATCCCAAACTAAAGTATAAGGCATTTTATCAGGGTTCTCACTTTTGGTGAGGTATGGATTATGGTGTTAGAAAGAATATAAAAAAGCACAAAAAGTGTGGGGAGCAACCGAGACTAGACTAAATTCCTGGAACAGCTAAGACTAATTCTATGCATCTGCTCTCCCACAATATGGCGCTGAGAGACAGCAAACAACTTCTACACAGCTGCCTCACCAGTTTGACTGATGAGCTGCAGGAGCTGATCCTGCTCCTGATTGGAGGAGAGCAGCATGCTCAGC